AGAGAAGGAAGACATGTGGGAGACGATGTAGTTTACATGATGAAATTATTAAAACATTTCACCTCCACCTATTTTCCCCACAATCTACAACACTGTGGATTCTATGCACATTAGAAAGAATTGCATCTAGCATGTTGTCTAAGCTCTGACCTTCTCCACCAGAGGCAGCTGGACGTTATTTCCCATCTCAAAAAAGTGTATTAGGGTGTTTTAGTACATAAATATTCAGAGTTCCACGGGGCACACTGCCCCATTTTGACTAGGGGCAATGTGCTCAGCTCTGTTGTCCCACAAGCAAAGCTGGGACCAGGCATGAAGCCACTCCCCACCCACCATCTGTTCACGTGCTGCTCACCGACTTCTCCCTCTCACCAGGTGCTGCCACTGGATGAAAGAAACATTGGGGGTACAAGGGCTGGAGCTTGGAAGTGATTGTAGGTTCATAATCACTGGTGGTTCCATCAAGGAGTTTTGCCATTTGTGAAGGAATAAAAAAAATGTCTGTCTGCAGCCAGGCTGGGCATCATCCCCAGTGTCTCCTTCCCACCTGCTGAGGTCATGGCCTCTGGGAGAGTGATCAGAAAGCGAGATGTGGAGTAAGTAGAAGCTGCTAAAGACAACTGAACATACAACTATTGTGACATAAATTGGGCCAAGTAGAATCAAAACCAAATGAGTGAGTGATCCTCAGCCAGCAGGTGCCAGAGCAGAAACACCACGGAGACCAGAAGCAATGGTTCATACCATTTTAGTATCCATATCCATCTGTTGTTTGTTAGTGCAGACTGTTCTTACTGAATACACTCACTCATCTCTAGGTCCTCTAAACTCATTAACCCTTTCCCATGCACTATTCCTTGCCTCACCACACTCCTGCCTCATTCACTGTTCATCCTCAATCACATTTGCCCATTCATAGCCTCAAGAGGGAACTAGCCATGCCAGCCAAACAAAGAACAGTTCTGCAGGATCCCTGCCTGTGTACTGACCAAGCCACAATGACAGAGAAGAAAACCTGTATCTAATAGAACGTGGCATGGTATATACCCACAATGGAAGGGGAAGCATTCTAAAGGTAGACGTAAGTGCCACACAACTTATACAGGTGATGCCAAGAAAATACTTGGAGATTTTCTTTAAGCAGAAATCAATCCCACAGCAAAGATAAACCCTTTCACTCAGGCAAGTTGAAATGGATATGCACCAGATCACTTCAGATTGTCCCAAGGACAAATTTCAGTTTCTGGCTCAAATCATTAAAGAGTTACGGCTTTAACAATAAAATGCATTTTTACAATGGCCCTAATGTATTCACCCCCGCTTTGTTTTCAGAAGCACCCAATTTATTCTTAATGAAACTTTTTTAACCTTTACATTTATTCAGCACCAGATGTGAAAAATATCATGTTGAAAGGGAAATGTTACTTGCAGCTTTAAGCTACTGTAATTGGTGAATTTTTTGTAATGTGAAGTCTTTAAACCATGGTTTGAAGATTTAACATCTGGCTGAGTTACTGAAGGTTCTATTTCAGGAGTGAGTGAAATTCTAAGGCCTGCAGTGTGCCGCATCTTGGTCAGAAGGGCCTCTTCCCATAGTGGGGAGTTGAGCATTATACCCTCATTGCTTGCAGATCATAGAAAGCAGCCACAGCTGCTTTTTGTTTGGCCTGTCAGAACCCATCAAGATCTCTGCCTCTCCTGGAGTTTGGGGTAGAGGACCCTGAATATTAACCGAACATTTTCTCTTTGTTTTCTTGCTGCATTCACATATTTAAGGCTGTTCATTCATCATGGCAAGTATGTTTCCTTTTGTATCTTGAATCTGCCACATGTTATCAATGAAGGGTTAAAGTGACAGATTTTAAGTTAATGTCAACAACTGAAGGCCCTGGTTTGGGAAATGTTCCCAATTCCTGCAGAAGGGTCATATACTCTGCTTATTTATTTGCTCAAGTATAGCAGCCAGTCACATGAAAAGACTCCCTTGCTTGGAATTAAGTGGTTTCACTATGGTTTGTTTCCTCTGCATAGAGCAGTTGATAAATCTGTTGCTTCTCTGGAAAGAGAGTTTGGACATATGTAGCCAGATTTGCTAATGTACCCACAAGTAGCACTCATTCCTAAACCTGTACATGTGCATGCATCTAGACCACGGCTAGTACTATGGGCATATTTATCATTACATGGGTTTGCTTCTAATTTGGTTCAACAACTAATTCTATTAAAGCAGTGGGAAAACCCTGTGTAAGCCATTCTGACTTTAGTTTAAAACTGTTTTTAATGAATTTAATTTAATTGAAAAAGCAATCAACCAATTTCACCTAAAACAACATAAACCAAGTTTAAATTGAATTAAGAGTGTCTACACAAGGCTAAACCACTTTTTTTAAAAAAAATCACACAGTTAAACCAATGCAACTTGGGGTATTGACAAGACTTTAATGACACAAATCCTGGACATGCTTCCCTCTCTGCACTTGGCTTTATCAAGTCAATAATCTGTCCTAGTTCCTCACAAGGACTGCAGGCAAATCCAAGAACACAGGTTGTTCCCTCAAGAGAAATTGAAGCAGCTTGATAGCTAGCAATTACTAGCCCATGCAGAAAGCAAACTCAGAAACACCAGGTGAGCAGATTTGGTTAATCCTGTCATTATGCTTTTGTCTTTGCCTTAGAACAGGAGACATGTCTTGGTTAACTGGAAAGGGCTCTTAACATGGGAAGGAATTGATTCCTGCCGAGGCTGCACTTGCTAGAGAGGAGACCTGGATGATCAGGAGGATCCACTGCTAAATGCAAATCTAGTCAGCTGAGCCATTGACTCATTCAATCCTTGAAGAATCCAGCATCTTTCACTGAGCAGTCATCTTCCCAACAATGCCCTCTGTTCACACAGCTGGTGGTTCTGAAGCCCCTATAGCAGCCTGTGTGCTTGGGCTCTGCAGAGTTTAAAAATCCTATGGAAACACAAGAAGCATGCAGGGTCCCTGAGAAAGCATTGACTTGCATTGTCCCTCAGCATCTGAAGCAACCATGTGCTCTAGCACTGACAGCTGCATCTTCCTCTGGCTGCCAGGGATTGGGGAGAGCTGAATAGAACTTACCTGCAATTTCTTCCGGTAGGGAAGGACTACCTGCAAAAACAAGGCAAACATGTCATCCTGGCAAGCACCATGTTAAAGTCACCCACGTTGGGACACATCTGATCTCCGTGCAAACAACGCCACAGCCTTTCACTCCATCCCTTGACTTCACCCATAATATGCACCCAGCTAGCCTACTCCTCTCCCATATTCCATTGAAGTCCAAGCATACCTTCACCGGCACCATCTCACTCTCCCAAGTGCCCTACATTATCACCTTCACACAACTGCTTGCCCACTTGTATCCAGGCACCTGCAGCCAGGCTCACTTGCTATCCAGAGCATCAGCCTCACCTGCACAGCTTCAGCCACATCCAGATGGTCCCCTTCAGATCCTTACCTGCAGCCTGTGCCATACTGCTTCACTTTTATCCCCCACTACAGCCATAAGCATTGAGTTCCAGAGGCTCACAGGAGCAAGGTTAATAGACTATGGCCTGTGGGGCTATACAGCAGTATTGATAGCACTTCAACACTGAGCTCAGACTTGAATTAGTCTTAGAGCACTACTCCCACAAGCCTGAGTCTGTTGCTGGGCATATCCTTGGAATGGATACCCTTACTCCTGTGTTAATTGCTCTCAGTTGCCAGGTAATGAAGTTTAAACTCCCGGCTTTGTAAATCCCTGGCTCTCCCTTTTTAGTTCTTATACACATTGGCTATTTTCATTCTTTCCTATTTCCCAGGAGCCAGTTTTGACCTTACTTACATTGGCATTATACTAATGCAAAACTTTTTTTTGCCATGGAATTACTCTTGATTTACATCAGGGTAAGAGAGACCACAATAATCCTGTCAACTCAATAAGGTCTCCGTTGTAATTGCCAATGGTTCTGGTACCATTTCAGCATTTATTCTGAGATGGTAAAGGAATAAGCTATCAGTCCCTCTTGTTTTGAATATGATCTGATCATCCTGGTCTGTTTTATTTGCTTCTGCCAGATCCAGCCTCGTAGACATTCCCTTTTTTAATTGTGTTGCATAAATCATCTTGCTGCTTTAATCCTGCCTCCCATGGAAAGTGGCACAAAGCAGCTTTTAAGTTCGATTTCTGACTGTCTTGTCATTTATTATTAATCCTGCTTGACATTCAGTGGCAGCACTTTAAACTTACCTTCTCACTTCCTGAGTGCTTTATCATTTCCCTGTTCTGTCCGGTTTTAGAAAGAAAGGCATTGCCTTACCATTTCAGATCAGGGCCCATGTTCTTGTGCATTCTGTCTCAGACACTGTCCAGGGACTTGAAAGAAAGTAGCTGAAACCCCTCGAATGGACAGTTTTGAAATAACATGCTCCTGAGAAGAAAGTTCTTCCTAATCCTTCACTCTGTCACATTTTATGCCCTGAAGCAGGAGAGTTTATACCGTAATATTATCTATCCTGTTTGATGTAACTAGTGTTGCTCTTATTATCTTAGAAGTGTCAAATCCATTCTGGAATCCTGATAAATTCTTAGACTCAAGAATTTTTTTGTGGCAGAGAGAACTATAGTTAGCATTGTGGTGGTGTCATAGAGGGCATTCACTGCTAGTAGCACCCCCTCTGGTGGTGTCCCTCCTGCCGTCTTCTCACTCAGCAGCCCCCTTATGCTTCAGGACCCACAGGGTGTCCCTACACATCATCGTAATTCCAAGTAAGATATGCAATTAGAGCTACGCAAATTGTGTATCTTATTTTGATGATATTTCGAAATAGCTTATTTTGTCATTTGGCGCTGTCTGCATAGTGCCAAGTTTCGAAATAAAGTGCTGTTCTGAAACCACTGAATGAGGTTTACAGGGACGTCAGAATAGCGAGCCTGAAATAATGGGCTTGCTGTGAAGATGCAGGATAGCTGTTTCAGGACACTCCAGTATCTCAAAATAGCGTTGCAGTATAGATGTACCAACAATGTCCTCTTTGGGACTTTGGGCACTGTCATGGTTCCCCCTGCCAGGAGAGGGGTGAGTTTCAAAGTTCCTCCAATCTTCCTTCCCCTTACTGCTCTGACCATGCCACTTCTCCAGTGATAATCATGTCATTGACAGAATCTCCCACCTCTGCTTTTCCAAACCATTAATACATATATTAAACACTGGTTCCTGTACAGAAGATGACACCCTACATTTCACCTTCATGATGGTGAAAAATGATTGTTCCCTTCCCACCCTTTATTTTCTCTGAACCAGCATACCCTGTCAGCATTTTATCTCACTCCATGGCAGTTTAGCGTCTCTAATAGGCCCTTCTTGGGGTTTCGTCAAAGGTTTTTTGAATGCCAGTTACATTATATGTACTAAAATGTTTTTACCCAACAGTTTGTATTAGGCCTTCAGACAATCAAACTAAATGCCAGAGTGTTGACATAATGTAAATGTTTGTTCTGGAATTTGTAATTCTCCTTTTAATTGTTGCCTCCACCAATTTTCCTGCTACTGAAGGGAAGCTGACTAGTTTGTAATTCTCAGAATCACTTCTCAGGTTGTCAAAAGTGTACACACCTTGGTTTCCCTGCAGTCTAGTGGCCATTTTAATGAGAGATTACCTCACATTAACCTAGCTCCACAAAGGAACTTAGACGTTGTATCACTGGGTATTGCAGCACCTCACTCTAGGCACCCAGCAAACCTTGTGTTATCTGCCCAGGCTCCCTGTATAGTGCAGGGCACTTAAGAATGGGATCCACAGAAGACAGCACCCTAAGAGGGGAGCTGCCTAGAACAACCAATAGTAGATACTGAAGAGAAGGATATGTACTAACAGGCCCTTCCATGGAATTAGGTGCCTAAATCTGGGCTAGCAGTAGGGGCCTCTTGCTACTCAGCCTTCACAGCTGTAAATCCCTTAGTGGAGTTAGGTGCCCACGCACTCTTTTTCCGACCCAATGCATAGCTCAATATTTTTACACAATGGAATAGCTTCTGCAGGAGAGACTGAGGGAGTCCCACGACACTAGCTTATAGCACCCTCCTGAAAGGGGCAATTAGACATCTAAGCCCTTTGGTGGAGGAGTTTGTCTTAGCCACTTGTTGGATGTACCAGATGAGCCAAGGCCTTGATGCCCCTTGATGGTTCCTTTTGTGAACATTTACCAATATGCAGAGTCAGAATTTTACTGAACATTTCCTTGCAGTAGCTGCTCTTTGACTCTGCCACCTGCTCATAACCTGAGACAAACAGGTACCACCCCAGTCTCCTCTGTGATGGACCCTGATGCTAAGAAATGTCTTATATTTCTTAATTGCTTTTGCCTTTATCTTCTGGTGCCCAGCAGATCAAATCCCTCTCAAAGGCTTCCTGGTTCTGAGACGGTTACTGAGAATTCTTCTGGTTTGTTTTTAAAGTCTTTGTTTATTTGCTGTTCAGATTCTGATTTTGGCCTATTTTCCAATATTACATGTTACTTTCCATACTGTTTGCTCCACAGGCTCCTGAACTTGAACATTTAACCAGACTCTTCTGTTTCTGGTTAGGAGGGTGCATGCCCTTTGCTGCTCCATTGACATGCTTTGGTAATACTCTGTGTCTGCCTTGATCTTACACATTGTTGCTGTCACCTTTTCTCACGCCCTCTTTACTTGTCCACCGGAATGGATCCTTTCCTTTTTTTAAATTTCCTTTTGTTTTAAGAACTTTTAAAAAGTTTTCTAAGACCCAAGTGCAGCCATTCTGGACTTTCACAGCCTCCTCATTGAGGCCTTATCCAGACTATGACAAAGGTGTTTAAAAAAAAACCCCTGTTCCTTAAAACATCTTAATTAAGTGCCATTTTGAAATTCATTAGTCACTAATGTAAATAGGTTTTAACTCCTTTAAAGTGTGTGGACTGATTGTGGTCAAGCCTAGCCTGCTCCCAAAGTTTGCTTCAACCACCTCATGTAGTAAAATGCCACTTGCACCTCTTTCTCTATGCAGTCAAGACCTGGGGCTAGGAAAATCCCCACCAATGTTGGGTAAGGCAAGGTAGTGGTGAGTCTAGGATTGAATGTGTGAGCATAGGGGACAGCTGGAAGCTAAGAAGCCCAGGCCCTCCTGCCTCTTTGGCAGAAGTGGGAAAGTTGGGCAAGAAGCATAGGAGCCAGTAGAGTTTTTTTAAGAGGAGGGATGGAGCAGAGAAGCTATGCTTTCGTAGAAGGGGGCATGGAGGGAAGGGCAAACCCCAGTCAGAGAGAAGCAGTTAGAGGAGCACTGATCTTGAATGGCACATCTACACAGCAGGGAAAAATCGAACACTCTTCCTTTGACTTCCTCTACTCCTCATGAAATGAGAGCTACAGGAGTGGGAGGGAGTAAGAAGCCTCCAGCTTGACATTATTTTGAAACAATGACTTGCTGTGTAGATGCGCATTATGTTATTTCGGAATAATGCTGTTGTGTAGACATAGCCTTATAAGTGGGAAGGGGCAGGGCGAAGAGGAGAGGAACCAGCCATCTGCAGGAGGCATAGGAAGGCCTCTCCTCCAAGAGACGCAATAGCAGAAGAAGCAACAATGGCTGATCCCTGCCAGCAAGAACTTACTTAGTTGGAGGAGTGGGGTCAGCAAAAAACTGTAGGGAACATGGAGGGTTCAGAGGCCACAATGGGGATGCCTGGAGGCCCTACGGGCAGTTCAGAAAACCTTCCTTCAGCTATCTGTGCTGGTCTCACTAAGTGCAGGTCACAACCAACTGCAGGATCTGCAGGCAGCCATTTGTTCTCGCCTTATTTAAGTTCCATCCCATTAGGGTATGTCTACACTACCCCGCTAGTTTGAACTAGCGGGGGCAATGTAGTCATCCGCAGTTGCAAATGAAGCCCGGGATTTGAATTTCCTGGGCTTCATTTGCATGAAGCCGGCCGGCGCCATTTTTAAATGCCAGCTAGTTCGAACCCCGTGCCGCGCGGCTACACGCGGCATGGGCTAGATAGTGGAACGAGGTGTACAGCTAGTTCGTATTAGAAGCCTAACCCGAACTAGCTAGTCCATGCCGTGTGTAGCCGCGCGGCACGGGGTCCGAACTAGCCGGCATTTAAAAATGGCGCCGGCCGGCCGGCTTTATGCAAATGAAGCCCGGGAAATTCAAATCCCGGGCTTCATTTGCAACTGTGGATGACTACATTACCCCCGCTAGTTCGAACTAGCGGGGTAGTGTAGACATACCCTTAGAGTTCAGTAGATCAGGGCTGCAGCCTTTCAAAAGCTCTGTGCAGCTCCATGGACTCATTTAAGCTTTCAGAGGCAGACGTTCGCTGGCTCCCTCTTGAATTCTTTCTCTCTCTCCCCCTCAAGGTCACTCAAGACTGTTCCTCTGCAGGCTGGAGGTAGGAGTCAGCACCGCTCCTTTTCTTTGCAGTCTGATTGTCAGGTTATTTTCATGTGTCCCTGACTATTTTGCCATCTTCTGCCTGTCTGCCTGGAGAATCCGGCCACTTCCTCTTTCAATTTACTGCCTTGTCCTCCCGATTTCTACATCTACTTTGTATTACACTGTGATACCCACAAATTACCTATCTCAGCTTGTCATTAACTAATCATTTATCCCACTTAAGGTCTTTGACTTCCCACAGCACATCCAGCTCTGTCTGCCTCTTTCATGTCTTTTCTGGTTTCCTCAGCTCAAAGAAAACAAGCAAAGCAGCCCTTACCCTATTCCCATAAACTGTATTTGCAAACCCCTCTCCACATTTGCCCTTCACATAGAGCAGTGGTCACCAACCAGTAGTCTGGGGTCTACTAGTAGATCTTGGAGCCTCTGACAGATGATCCTGACTGATTTGGCTGGGAAGGTATCAAGCACTGGCACTTTAGTTACCCCCGCCCCCGATTGTCATGCTGCTCCTGCCCTCTGCATTGAAGCTGCCTCCTGGGAGCCTCCTGCTTGCTGTGCAGGATGTGGGAGGGAGAGGATGGGGGGTGCTGATGTCAGGGTGTCTCTCCACCCCCCACGCTTATACCCCATCTCCACACAGAGAGAAAGGGATGGAAGGAGCTTAGCAGTGCAAATCTCTGTCACTCTCACACACTGAGTGTGGCTCTGTCATTCTCACACACACACACACTATCCCCCACTCTCATCTCCTGACCCAACACATATGTGGGTTGTTGTTACTTCTTTTACTGATTGTAAAGTGTGTTAATTTGGGATTTTCATAAAGATGTTAAGAACTAGTTGACTATCCCATAAGGAAATGCTTATCGGATAGCTGAGTCGACTAGTTGATTCCCCCCCACTTGCTGCCTCTATCAGATAGAGGCAACAAATAGAGGGAGGAAGGGGTACTTCAAAGCAGCAGTGCCGCACTGAGCCTGGAGTCAGTTTTGTGTGGTGCTGCCACTTTGAAATAATGAGGGGGCATTTCAAAGGGGCAGTGCCACACAGCTGAGCTCGGGTTCTATGTGGCACTGCCCCTTTGAAATGCCACCATGGCATTTCAAAGCGGCAGCGTTGTGTGGAGCCCTGAGTCAGCTGGGCTCTGTGTGGCATTTCCATGGAACCGGGGATCAGCTGGGGAGACCCCAGCTGACCCAGGCTCCATGTGGCATTTCAAAGTGGCAGTGCAGCATGGAGCCTGGGATTAGCAGGGGACTCCGAGTACCCCGCTCAGCCCAGGTTCTATGAGGGCACTTCCACTTTAAAAATGCACAAAAGTCCCCAGTGGGGGGACATTTCAAAGCTGGCATACCACATGCAGCCCGGAGTCAGCGGGCCTTTCCACTGGCCCAGGCTGCAAGTGAAGTTCCACATTACTCCTTTGAAAAGTACAAGAGTCCCAGTGGGGGATCTTGTACATTTCAAA